TTTCCGCCTACCTCTATCCAAAGTATACATTTCCTGGCCTCATTGCAGGGAGCAAAGTCGTACTTTTCCTCCCTATGGAGAAAAAGTACTTTTACTCCCTAGGGAGGAAAAGCAAGTGACGTCATGGTATGTCATAAATGAAATAGATTATACGGCATTGACGACCTAAACTATATTCTATTATATAAGTATAAATATTACCGTTTATTTATAGAACACCCTGTATTTTGCAAAATAGTAAAAATCAGTAAATTGTTATTTTAATTTAACGATTTTTACATTAATAATTTGACTTCAATTCATAGATTCATCCGATTTTCGAATTTAGGACAGAAATATTATAGCATGCTATGGTCGATTGACAGATCAGTTTCAAAGTGTGTTACGCTATAATATATCTACAAAATATAAAATAATATTTAGAAAATGAGTGATTCAAGCGAATTTGAAGATACAAATAATACACCACCGGATATTTTGGAACAGGTTAATGCAACAGTACAATCTCTATTACCCCAAAAATCTAAAGAAAAATACGAAAAACAGTATTTACATTTCAAGCAATGGGCCGAAGAAAAGCATATTCGTACTTACTCAGAAAATGTTATTTTGGGGTATTTTTCGCTATTAGCAAATACATTAAAAGCCTCTACATTGTGGTCCAAGTATTCAATGCTGCGTACCATGCTTCAAATAAAAGAAAATGTGGATATTAAATACCCAAAATTAATTGCTTTCTTGAAAAGACAAAACCAGGGATATAAACCTAATAAGGCAAAAACCTTCTCAAGAGAGGAAGTAAATAAATTTTTAGTAGAAGCCCCCGATAATAATAATTTATTAATGAAGGTAAGATATTTTAAAGAAGTAAATATATTTAAAAAATAAAAGTTAAACGGCAAATATTATAATAGAGCTACAACAATACACTATGTTTAGAATTCCGCAAAAGTTGCCTGTAAGTTCCGGTAGCGCAATTAGTTGGTGCACCGCTCACTGTCCATGATAGGCTTGTAGGTGTTGGTTCAAATTCCAACGTCGACGGCTTTTTTTTTTTTTTATTTATTTTTTTAAATTGTTCATCTTTGTTTTGTAGGTTCTTCTCATTTTCGGAATTTCAGGAGCATGCAGATGTGACGAACTCCTTAAAATGGCTACTATAGATATTGAAGATAAAGGTTCAATTTTAATAGTAAATATACCAGATTCAAAAACAAATATACAGAGAACGTTTGTAATCAATACTTCACCGGAGAATGACCCTAATTATATTGACATTTATAGAAAATATATATATCGCTACGCCCTAAAACAGATCAGACTCGTTTATTTGTCTGCTATAGAGCAGGAAAATGTATCAACCAAATAGTTGGAAAAAATACTATTGCTAAAATTCCTAAAAAAATTGCAGAATTTTTAAAACTGCCTAATGCCATAAATTATACCGGGCATACTTTCAGAAGAACCTCGGCAAGTTTACTTGCAAACTCTGGAGGAGACATTCTTGCTTTAAAGCAACATGGAGGTTGGAAGTCTACGAATATCGCTGAAGGGTATGTGGAGCAATCTCTTGCAAAAAAGAGAAAAATTTCGAATCAAATTATGGGAGTCACTGAAGTTAATGAAATTGATTGTAATCAGCCAAGTACAAGTACTTCCGAAGGATACCAGCTGTATAATAATGTTTGTGAAAATATCATGAAAACTGCATTGGCTCCAACTCTCACTTCTAGTGGTATTCAAATAACAACTGCTCAAAACTGCACGTTTAACATTAGTATAAATAATTACTCTACCACAAATTAAAAATATGTAGGATGCAAAGATGGAAATAACGTGCCTATAATTTATACTGTACCTACTTCTTAATTTTAGTTCTTTAATAAATTTTGTTTGATAGTTTCATAAATAAATTATTTAAAAATGACTTGTTATTTGAGGGAGGCGGAAAAATCATATGTATTACTTGGGAGTAAAGTGCCTTTTCCTCCCTTGGATGTTTACTACCCTCCGCTTCGCGTCGGGCAGTAAACTTCATCCTGCGGGAGGAAAAGTGGCACTTTCCTCCCTAGTAATACAAATAGCTATTATTTCGCACCAGCCGAAATCTAGTGGCAAATAATGTATTGTTTTAAGTCTAGTTCCTTTTTATATGCAGTTAAAAAGGGCTGTTAGATCTTGTTTCGCTTGATTTCAAAATTACAGTCGTGTTGCCACGGGCCGAAAAACTTGTCAATTTTTGAAAGGCGGTGGTTGAGTGGTTTTGTCATGTTGAATTGAATTCAACTAGATTTTGCCTTAATGTTTAAATATATTATATTATATGAATTATGTGCTTAGAAATAAAAATGATAAATTCCACCTGCCGCCTCTTAATCTTGTCAACTATCAGTCAAATCTAGCAACGCGTTTTTGAGAAAATTTCCGTGAACCGATTTCAATGAAATTTGGTATACTTACAAGGGTCCGATGACAATGCAATATTATGAAAAATAATTTATTGATATGATATCAGAATGATAAAAAAATATTCTTTACTTTTTAGTGCATTTTATAAAAGCCTATAACTTAATTGTTTTATCAGTTTATTTTCATTTTCCCTAGATCATTGCGCTCCGGCCGGCCGCCCGGATCGCCCTACCCTGGGGCCGGCCCTGTTCCTTCTATATCAAATTTACTTAAAACTTTCTCTTTTGGGCTCAAAATTTTACTAAATACATTTATATCTTTAATTAACACAATACTAAATAAATCTGCTAAGGTATTTCCTACGATAGGGGAAATGCTACTCGACAACTTGTTCCTAAAAATTTGAAGGTAGGAGTATAAGAGGAGGACAAATTAGTTCTCATGAACGGAGCAATAACTCTTAATAAGAATGGCTTTCGGCTGAATCTCAAGATATGAACGAAACCCATTTGTATAAAGAGCCAGCCAGTACAAAAATATACAGTTCGAATGCCTAACACTTTATTTACACCTTGGTACAACAGATACGCAATAATTTCCAACAAGTTCACTTTTATTAGGTACCTAAAATTAGCGCTTATGCCCGGCAATGTCTCACTTATGACTTTCCCTTTGTCCAAAAAAACTTCCCCTGTCGCATTTCTATACACGATGGCAGTGAGTCATTAAACTTGTAATATAACAGCGGATGCCATTTCTTTGAATGTCAATGTAACATCCAACAATAGCCCATAAATTTAGGTTAATGCGTATTCGGCCATCACAGGCGGCTCAGTTTCTTGCTTGGGGTCCCGCTATTAATATTAATGCATTGGTAATTGGTTATTCAGTGAGAGCGCTACTATCATGGGATCGATTGGCTTAAAAAAACAACTTGACATAGACGGGTATTATTGTATTAAAATGTTGTTTTAATTCAGTTTTTAAAGTCTAAATTATTAATATTATATAAGTAAACATTGTGATCAATTTTATAACTCTAATAATGTCAGTGAGGCGGTAGATATAAAAAGTAAAACAAAACTCCATTAAGCAATCCACCGTACACCGGTAAACAAAATACTATGAAAAAAAAAACCTTGGTTATCTAAAGGTCTTAGAGTAAGATTCCACAGTCACTAGACCTACGTCATTTTGGAAAAGCTAAAATTTAAAAAATAGTATAATATATAATTAAGATCGTATGCTTATACAATCAATCGAAATTTTTTTATTATATAATTTTTTTGAAAATACCACTTTAAATCTGAATCTATGAATATTCCTAAATATTTAGGGTTATTGGTTTTATAATTTTAATAATTAGAAATGCCTTTTCATTTTATATTTTATTTATTAATTTAACTAAACGAAAGCAAAAAATACATGTGCTTACTTTTTACATAATTTTTAGGTAAACATGAATCTTTTTTTTTTCTTGTGCTATACATATATAAGTAATGAGACACATTGTGGCCTCTACCCATATAATAATAATAATACTCTCCCTAATTCACCCCCTTACGAGTGAATTTCAACCCCTGAAGTCGACTGAACGACTTGTGTAGGGGAAGGGACGGCTATTATTATTATTTGCCGTAGCGCTCCGGGGCGACTTAAAGATGATTGATGGTGCCATTTGACTTACAGGTGAGGAAAACCTCACCCACCATCATCGAGACGGTAATGTATGGCGAATTTTTTTAATCTGCATGTCATATCAACAGAAATTGAATTTCTATTAATACGCCACACATCAAATCCTAAACCGAACCATGCAATTTAATTAAAAATCCACATGGTCCGGTCTGGGATTCGAAACCCAGCAGTCTCAGACTCATAAACTTGCCTATAAATGAATATAAGCGCGATAGACCGCTACACCACCGTCCCGATATAAGCAATATATTATAACAATTGGTAGACCCAATTTTTATTTATTGATTCCCTTTCTGTTTTATTTAAAGATATCTACTTATATTTGGTAAATGATTACTATATAAGGTAAAAGGTATGAATGATAACTTCTCATAGTTTATATATTAAGTACATTATAATTAAAAAGTTGGATATTTTCTAAAAATCTTATTCAGCAGTATTTTTGAGTGATTCCCAGTTATTCTGTTGATAAAAATTTGAAGTGTCATCTGCAAAACTGACAGCTTCGCCTTTGAATTTCTGATTAAATAGGTCATTTATACAAATATTAAATAACGATGGTCTGAGGACTGTTCCCTGTGGAACACAGCATTTAATAACTTTGGTATCACCATAGATGCCATTGATTTTATAGAGTTTTTAACAAATTTTATGGTTAACGTATTGTCTATCTGAAAGGATTGCATTGAAAAACCATCAGAAATTATTAGACATTTTAGAAGATATGGAAATTAAAGACTTATTTTTGGATTTATTTAAGTATAATACACAATTTATTAGTTAACCAGAGTATGTATAAATAAGAGTTACTCAAGGTACTGTACTTAGGCCGGTAATGTTTCTAATCTATATATAAAAAAAAAACAAAAATATAATTTTTTTCATAATTTTAGATACTGGCAATTCTACTACGAAATTCAAGCAGGATCGTTAAGAAGATTTTCCTTCGCACCGATGGAACAAAACCGATGGGCTTCTGTGGTCATTGCGAACTTAAAATACGATAGAATGACTCTCAAACATGACATAGCTCTTATGAAATTATCATCGCCTGTCAGATTTAACAGATACGTCAGACCCATATGCCTACCGAGCGAATTTACGGCAGGAAGAAACTTCGCCGCAGGTCCTTCTCCGGGTACGATTTGCACAACAGTCGGCTGGGGGGCCACAATGGAACACGGCGCTGATCGTAAGTGAATTATGTTCTTTCTGTCTCGTCTCTCTATATAAACCCAAAGTTTACGTGATAGTTTTATTTTTTAAAATGTCACGCTCCACCTTGAATTCTCAAGTTCAATATAAATCATTAACTAGAGTAATAACAACATTATTTGTTTTATTTCCATAAGTGTGTTTTCTTTTGAATTTTTAATTTAGAACATTATAAATACTTTTTTTAGAATTTTTAGAAAATTCTTTTTATTTTCCAATAATAATGCCAATTATTAGATTATTCCCCTGTCAGAAAAAAATTGAACTACTTTTTCAATTCTTTTTAAAATCCTTAATGTAAATAATTTACAAAAATTATAAAATTTTCTACAATATATATGGCAACCTTACGCTTGATTCACTGCACAAGTTGTGTATTCTTTGGGTGGGTTGGCCGTAACTACCCTTTGCTCTCTGGCTGTCACCTCACATCATCCCCTGATCCTTGACCTTCCTGGCATGGTCCCTTCTCGATCTGGTATGGTCCTTGGGCTGCTGATCCTGGTAACCCTTACGGTAGTCTATCTATTTTCCAATAGAATCTGGCTCTGGACCCTCTGGTTGACTGTTCCTTTGGACTGCTATTGTACATGGCTGCTGTACTTGGCTGCTACTGGTAGGTCCTCAATAACTTATTACTGGGAATGGCCTCTTTCTTTGAACCTTAGTTCAAAGCGATAAGTAAGATAACCAGAATTGTACATTTAATCAAAACAAATAAGTGAATTTTGTACTTCCCTCGTATACAGTAAGAAAAATTTAAATGTAATCAAATTAATATTGGAAATGAGTCAAACTCATCAATAACATTTTTTCTACACCCACATTGATATTAGCTTATAACAGGAGCAATTATTGTAAATATTTTGTATGCTACTGTTAGAGTTCTCTAAAATACAACTGCTACTGCTTTGAGGTATCTGCATCTGTAACATGTGGAGGGTGCGTTACCCCTCGGCACTTGAGGCCTCACTAGGCCCATTGTGCATCCTTCTCAATTACTAGGTCCCTCTTAGCTCATCAGCTAGCCTACAGATTTGAAGTAGTTGTCAACATCGCCGAGAGATGCTTCTCTTATATTGCCCAGTAATAGCCAAAACTCGCTGAACATAAATCTTCTAATAAATTAAAACGTCAGGCAGTCATCTTCTTCTTCGTACCCCCTGCAGAGTGCGGATTCTGACAGCCCTATGCAATAGAAATGATTAGTCAGAATGTCTTTGGTAGTACCTATTAATAGTGTTCTTATTGTATCCTTATTTGCGGAATATCCACACAATATTCGCAGAATATTCACAAAATATTCACACAATATTCACTAAATGCTCGCACAATATTTACACAATATTCATACAATATACGCACAATATTCACACAATATTAACACAATATTCACACAATATTCACACAATATTCACACAATATTCACACAATATTCACACAATATTCACACAATATTAACACAATATTCACACAATATTCACACAATATTCACACAATATTCACACAATATTCACACAATATTCACACAATATTCACACAATATTCACACAATATTCACACAATATTCACACAATATTCACACAATATTTACACAATAATTACACAATATTTACGCAATATTTACACAATATTCACAAAATATTCACACAATATTTACTAAAAATGTATATTTCAGCCGACCACGTACGAGAAGTTGAAGTCCCAGTCTTGGAACACTGCAAGCATAGAGACGATTTCGGTGAAGACGAAATATGCGCTGGTCTTGCAGAGGGCGGGAAAGACGCCTGTCAAGGTGACAGCGGTGGACCGCTCATGTGCAGGAATCCAAACAATCCTAGCCAATGGTATTTGGCAGGAGTCGTTAGTCATGGAGAAGGTTGCGCGAGACCCAACGAACCCGGAGTGTATGCCAAAGTAGCCAAGTACATGGGATGGATTGTCGAGAATATGGGTAGATTTTTTAACATTTAAACACCATAATTGTTTTTAAAATAGTGAATTTTCCTTTTATTTGATTGTTGTTTTTATCTTTATATATTTTCTATATAATTATTTTTGCTTGTATCTTTATTAATTGTTTCTCTTTCTATTTTATTTGTATATCCTCTATCTTCTCCTTTTTACTGCTGTCTTATATGTAAGGAGTTTAATTACTGTCACTATTTTTAAGCTTTAATTTTCGATTTTGTTTCGCCTGAACATTGATATAATATCTACTGGCTCTTTCTAGCTGAAGACAAATTCATTCCGAGATTTCCACTTCAGCAATGTCCTGGATATACCTGCAAATTAACGAAGAGATGTGTATCGAAAAAACATCGTTGCGATACAGTCGTTGATTGTTTACTGGGCGATGATGAGCTCAACTGTAAGTCGCACGAAAACAATTTGTTGATGTTCAATAGAAACAGCGAAGATGATAACGATTTAGACAGTCGATTACGAGCAACCTTAGTTGGTTCCAATTCGAGCAGTGTCGATCAAATCAAAACCCATAAAACTGCTGACAATACTGATACCATAGGGCAACCCACTAGTTATTTTAGGTGTAAAAGGTAACTTTTATACATCTTAAAGAAACGCGTGTTAATTGTAAAAAATCTTAAATGAAAATTTTGCAAATAAGTAGATGACAGCACGAATGCAGTTAAAAAATGATGAGTAAAAGAACCGGTGTGAAGTTAACAGCCACTTTACTGGAAACATCCAGTGGCATTGAAATTCCTTATTCTATGAAGAAAATTACATTAATATACAATGTCAAAAGGTAACAAAAACGAGTCGACTGTCTGATGAACAGCCTTTGACCACCGGTTTCCCTCAGCGTGGAGAAGGCTTGGTCTGTCCAGTACCAAATTTACAGTATTTAAACTAAATAATAATTACTTTCCTTGTCCCCAATCATGGATGCTGCCACACGAGGGCAATGGGGCGTCCGCCTTTCTAAAATTTGTGATTTTTTCCATTGTTTTCGACCATATCCTGCGGCGTTTAGACTTGCCCCCTAAACATTTTTTGAACGGCGACCATGTCCCCAACCCCTAATCGAACAAACATTTAAAACGAAATGAAACGAAATACCATTTAATAAAAGGCCCAATGTATAAATAAGTAACCCTAGACTTTAATACAGACAATTAAAGAACAAAACATAAAAATTAAATGTAGTTATATTAATAATAAAAATTGACAAACGTAGTAAAGAGTATAAAGTGTTCCTAGAACAGAAATCAAAATAATAAGATTGGATTCATAAGCGTTGATACCACGACGTGTGACATCATGGATTAATTGCGCAGAGTGAAAAAAATATCATACGAAGGTTTTTTTTTCTTTTTCTTTTTCTTTTTCTTTCTCCTGGGCTCGTCTGACTATGTGTCTCCGAATAACACTGAAGCCTATTGTGTTTTACCCCATGTTAGCTCATAGCACCCACTCTGTCACCTTTGTACCTTGTACAAGTTTGTACAGATCCTTGGGTGAGTGGGTTCTATACGTTGTTGGATCAACCTGGGTTTGTCCAAAAAGAGCCTGTCTTTTGCGATCTATAAGTTCGCATTCGCACAGTACGTGTTTGGCCGTTTCTGGTTTCTTGTGACATAGTCGGCACATGAGTTCCCCATTGTACATACCAATTTTGGTCAAGTGTCCCTTTACTGGGGCGTGCCCAGTCATGAACCCTGTTATCACTTTCAACTGGTTCCTATTCATTAAGAGTAGTTCTCCAGTTCTTTTGGGACATGGTCTGCCTATTAAGGCTTTTCCATGTGCCTGTTTTGGGGTGCTTCCCCAATAGTTGATATGTTATTCCCGAATCCAGTCGTTTATGAAACCCCGGACTGTACTTTTTGGTACTCCTGGGTTTGTGTCTGGTTCCGGTGTTTCTTCTGACGAACCTGCTAAAAGAAAGTTCGTCAACCTTTTCGTTGCCTTCGATCCCTTGGTGACCTGGCACCCATACAAAGGTTACGAAGAAGTAAAATATTTTAAAAATTGGGTATTTCTGGTAAATTGGTCACTGGAAAGTGGCTACTAACTTCACACCAGCGGTGCAAGATACTTAAATATGTTGCAGTTATGAGTGTTTCTGTAACTGACGAACGATTCAACGAACTTCATATTTCATTAGTACCACTGCCACTGAAATGTGGGTCGAAATAATTTTGCATATAAGATAAAAATGTGGAACCCCCATATACAGTTTGTCAACTTAAGTTAGAACCATATGGAAAACTTTTTTATTGTTGGTTTTGTGAAAAAATGTATTTGTGATAAAAAGTTCTGCATGGTCCAAAACTTAAAATGCAACCATTAGATATCAATTTTTTTAAGGTGTATACGAGGTTTGCCAAAAAATAATTTATAGCTACAAATAATTTATAGTGTATAACGTAAATAATTACCTAACCTGAATTTTTATGCTAAATGACTATAATTGCATATTTGAGTATAACTTTTAATTCAAAATGACTTTACTTATAATGTTCTTCTGTATTGTAAAAAATAAAGGTACTTTACTCTTGAGTAAAATTCATATTTTTAGACAAACCTCGTATACAGCTTAAATAAATTGATATCTGATGGTTGCATTTTAAGTTTTGAACCATGCAGAACTTTTTACCAAGAATACAATTTTTCACAAAACCAATAATAAAAAAGTTTTCCAAATGGTTCCAACTTAGGTAGATACACTGTATATAGTTTTTGTGTTTGATAGACATTTTTTGTAGCCTCCTGCAGCTGATCCCAATATCCAAAAAATGCGATAAAATAGTGGATTGTGAAGATGGAACAGACGAGGAAGGATGCCAGTGTGCTGACTACGTAAAAAATCGAAATGCAAATGCAATTTGCGATGGAATTGCAGATTGTTACGATTTAACAGACGAAAATTGCTGTAAGTTAAATTTATTTTTCCCAAATATGTTAAGTATAAACTGAGTGTGGGTTTTAAGTTTATATTGAAGAGGTTGGAATATAGCTTAACTAAAGATTCATGGGATAAAAATAAGATGATTTAAAAGAAATATAAAGAGATTAATTTAATTTTTTTATGTTTTTTTAATGTTTTAGTAAAATGTAAAGGTGATGAATATCATTGTCGCCAAAGTCAAACATGCATCGAATTGTCAAAACGTTGCGACGGAATATCAGACTGCGACAGAAATGAAGATGAATGGGATTGCGGTAAGTAAATCATTTGATTCATAAACTAGAAATATCCGTTTTTAAAATTTATTTCAAACCGCTACAAAAAAAAATACTTTCTTTTGCGTTCTTCTACTTCTAACAAATAGCTCCGAACTTATTTAGGATTTATTTTCAGTTGCCCTTACAAATGGCGAAACATTAACTTTTGACAGTGATTTACGTCCGAAGTTAGCAATGTCTGGGATAATCACTATCAATAAAAACGGCATTTGGAAACCTCTGTGTCAGAATACCACAGAAAAAGCCGCCACAATTGTTACTAATACCTGTTACTTATTAGGTAAGCAAAGCACCGAAAGCAAAAATTTACTTTTGAAATTTAATATTAAAAATTAATATTTACATTATAAATGTGATGAAAATATCTAATCTCTATTCTCCTTTTGTAGTTTAATGAACTGTAGCGGCTCGGGACCCAGGCCGGCCCTAGCAATTTGGCGCTACGGGAAAAAACCTTAATTTTGCCCCCCCCCCCCCCCCCGTTTTTTAAAGTAAATCTCATGCGACCATATTAGAAGGTCAAGAAAACATTAAAAAAAAAATTTAAAAAACGTTTTATTAAAAACTCAATCATCAGATAACAAGATAAGCAATTTAGCACTTAAGGCAAAATTAAAATGTAGTAATGCTAACTAAACTAATATCCCATATAATAAATAAATTTTAACTAACCAAAGTAATTAAAATACCCTTTTTCTAACTTTTCTTTCGGCAAACTCACGAACCAGTGATTTCAAGTCTAATTTGTCACTAATTTGGTGTTCTGGTTTGCCAATCCATTGAGATAACTTTTTATTATTTTAAGTTTTGAAAAGCTTATTTCCCCTGAAGCCACAGTGACTGGCAATGTAAGTAGGATTCTTAATGCTATGCTGAGGTTTGGTGCGAATTTAAGTGTAGCGATAAACTTGAGAACTTCAACAGGGGTTTCCTTTTCTGTTAATAATGACGAAACAATGCTTATTTCATCGTCTAGTTCCAGGGCGTTAAGATCGCTTGGATTTACATCACTTAAAACTACTTCCAAATCTTTGCAATGAGCCAGTAGCTTATTTCTGGGCATATATTTTAGACCAAAAATATTATACAAAAAGCTAAAATAATTACTATATTTAGTAAATTATATCTGTTTCCAAGCATTTATTGCTTGATCTATAGTGAAAAAAAAATCTATTTTATATTTTTGTTTGAGGTCTTGAACGGGTTCATCCGGGCCCTCATACAAAACGTTCTTGTTTTGCTTCTGACACGATGACGTGGTGTGGTGGTTTCGAAATTAGCTTTCACGTCAATCTCTGAAGCAAGCTCGGTTGCTTCTAAAATGATGCTCTCAAAAGCTTCATCTGATCTCAGGTTTTCAAAGAAGAGTTTGCAGTTGCTAAGCATATCAATAGCTTGTGACATATTAAAATTTACAGTTTGCAAAAGTTTGCTGATGGGGTTAATATGGCTCAAAATTTTGTACCAGATCACAACAGAGCATATAAATTTGAACTGCTTCAAATTATTTAATAATCCGCTAGCCTCGTCTCTGATCATATTATCGATTTCTGAATCTTCATATATGCTGTACAAAGCATCGTGAATTGGACCAATTTGAAACCGCATAGCTTTTAATGAGTCGACTCGACTTTCCAATCGCTTATCACTCAATGGTTTTAAGGTGTAAGTATCAATATATTTCAGTAATATTACTCGGAAAGAAGAGGAAGAGAAAAATTTATATTACTTTTGAACAATATTGAAGAAATTGGCTGCCTCAAACAAGAATTTTGCCATATCGTTTACAACCAAATTTAGCGAATGGCTGCTGCATGGAACAAAATGCTCTGGGGTTAATATTTCTGATGCTTGTTTGTACTCTCGATTTTTCTCCTCTCATATTGGAACCATTGTCATACCCTTAACCGCTCATGTTTTTTACTTTAAGCCTATTTTTCTCTAGCTCTTCTAGTAAAACCTCCTCAATGTGTAGAAAACCCAAAAAATGTTCGTTGATATTAACTTGAGCTTCAGACTCTGATTCCTGTATGGAGACAAATCTTACCACAAATGTCATCTGTTCTACTTTACTTGCATCGGGAGTACAGTCAAGAATCACGGAATAATACTTGGCCTTTTGAACTTGCTCAATGATGTGGTGCTTTATGTTGTCATGCAATAATTCAATTATTTTATTTTGTATAGTTTTCCCTAGATATGTAGCTTTGATTTCTTCTTTATTGAGGACTCTGCGAACGTATTCCTCCATTTTTGGATCAAACTCAGCCAATAACTGAATTAACTTCAAAAAGTTTCCATTATTGTGTTCATACAGTTTATCGCTTGTTCCTCGAAAAGCTAGAGAGCTCTCACCTAGCATTTTTATAATGCGTAAAAGAACTTCAGACCAGTGATTTATCTCAGAATCAATGAGTCTCTGAGAAACTGCATCTTTTGTTTCACCAATTTTCAATATTTGCTTTAATTCAAGCCATGATTTCAAACAATCTGTATGAGTTTTAGCATTTTCATGATGTGCTAAAGAGTCCCCTAAATGTTTTCAGTCTTTAAATACCCGATTGCCAAGAGCGCTCATGCTAGATGGTGCAGCAAAAAGTCGACATGGAAAACAGTACAGTGTTTTGAAATACGGACGGTAGCTTTTTCTAAATGTTTCTCTGAGGTCTGCACAACTTGCGAATGTTGATTTTTAGAACTGCACAGAACTGCATCACTACTCGCCAAACTCGTTTGAGATGACTTACCCAGCTCAGTAATGCTGACGGTTGCGTCCAAAGGGGGTCCATATCCGGAAAGTCAGTATCTAGGTGCTGGGCATTGTTCAAATGTTGGTCAGTTGTGGTAGCGTTGAAACTACCTTCTTTCAAGAAGTTCTGCAGCGCATCTGACGGTTTTTGAAGCTGTGTTTGCTTGTTCAATCTCCGCTTTTTAAATTAGCTTCCAGAGGGTTTTCTCTTAGCATCGGACATTTTGGTTTCTGGAACAAATTAATTAAAATAAAAGATAATACTGATATCAAAAAAAGCCATGATTTGATTTAAATTATAATTTCTGAAATCCCCCCTTATGCGTCACTGACTTAAAAAAAAATGTATTTCATTTAACTCCAGACTCAATTACCTTTCATTTGATACCACACATGCAATTTTTTGATATAAACTCTAATTTTTGAAATCTTCCCCCGTGCGCCACTAGCTTAAAAAAATAAAATGCATTTTATTCAACTCCAGACTCTACCTTTCATTTGATACCACACAAGCCATTTTTTGATGTAAACTCTAATTTTTGAAATCCCCCATTTGTGCTCCACTGGCTTAAAAAATAAAATGCATTTTATTCAACTCCAGACTCAGTTACCTTTCATTTGATACCACACAAGCCATGTTTTGATCTAAGCTCTAATCCCCCGCCCTTTTTTGGGCTTATGTCTGATGGATTTTTTTAGTTTTTAAAAATGAAAACAAAAATTAAAACACTTACCTTCACAGAAGCCAAACGCACAAGACAATTTTCACAAGCACTTTTTTAAAGCTTTTTTGCACTACCCATTTAAACAAACTGTTTTATTTCGCACCAGCCGAAGTCTAGTGGCAAATAATACATTGTTTTAAGTCTACTTCCTTTTTATATGCAGTTAAAAAGAGCTGTTAGATCTTGTTTCGCTTGGTTTCAAAATTGTTGTTTCCTGTACAGTCGTGTTGCCACGGGCCGAAAAACTTGTCAATTCTTGAAAGGCGGTGGTTGAGTGGTTTTGTCATGTTGAATTGAATTCAACTAGATTTTACCTTAATGTTTAAATATATTATATTATTTGAATTATGTGCTTAGAAATAAAAATGATAAATTCCGCCTGCCGCCTCTTAATCTTGTCAACTATCAGTCAAATCTTGCAACGCGTTTTTGAGAAAAAATATTCTTTACTTTTTAGTGCATTTTATAAAAGCCTGTAACTTAATTTTTTTTATCAGTTTATTTTCATTTTCCATGATTTTGGCGCCCCTAGATCACCCTACCCTGGGGCCCCGGCCCTGTCGGGACTAACATAGACTAAAATATCGGGGTGATCGGGGTCCACAATGACAGAATATAAATGTCAGTACAGTACAGTGTTTTAGAAAGATATATTATAAAATCTGAAAATTTTTTACCTAAATATTTATTCAGATATATATTTTGTCATTGTAAACCCACAATATTTTGGTGACAAGCCACCACTGTAATGAAACTGATTTAGGATATAGTACCATTTGTAATAATATCTACATAAATGCTTTTAAATTTTTTAAAAGAGTACCTACTTATTTCAAATACTTGGCGATAATTTCAGTTCAGTATTTACTCAACCGACTTTGTAATTTTTACTTTTCACCATAATAATTAGGCTCCTACATTCAAATATAGCTGATATTTTTGCGAAGTAGTCTCACTTATCAAATGTTATTTTCTAGATAAATAAAATATGGTGTACCCCAGGCTCCGTTTTGGGGCTTTTGCTCTTTTTAATATAGACAAATTTTACAATCTTCGGTATGTTTAATTAAAAAACTATTACCCAAAAATTTTGTAACGAATCGGCACCAGAGCTTACGTATATGATCTCCCATCTGTTACAACTTTATGTGATGTGGGTTTGACCATCAAACGTAGAATAATGGTCGCAAACGGGGTAAATTGGCCCATTTTTGAATAGGTATAATACTAAAATTAGCGTCATTCACATTTAGTCGTCATACACTCTTGTCATTTTGAATATATACATACGTGTTTTTATTGCCTTCCTTAGGTTTTGAAGAATACATGGGATATCAAGAACGTCTAATAAAAGACAAACCATTTAATGCAGTAGAAGACAACTCCGAAAATAAAACTTGCAACGGCTTGTACATAAAATGTTCTAATATATCTTTAGACAGCTCAATTCACAGCGTCCATCTTGATAACGATACGGACGAAGTTGAACTTTACACCTCACCCTGGAATGCAGCTATATATTCAGACGGTATATACAGATGCATGGGGGCAATTCTAAATTCTCGATGGATCGTAACATCTTTCCACTGTTGCGATGGAATAAGTATGTGAGTGATTTATGTCGTCTCTAAATCTGCACTGAATAAAGTATTCGTCTATTCAAATCTTATGAAATCGTTTTGTAAAAAGAAATTAATGCTTTTTTTTTTTTAGGTTGAACAAACATTACGTCACTGCACTGTTAGGAAAAGGAAAGGCCACGCTTCATGTAAAGGGGCCCCACGAACAAACATTGAAAATTGTGGAGAGCGTAAAAATTTCTGATACGGACATTATCTTACTAAGAACTGAAACGAATATAGCTTTCAGTAGATACATACAAGATGTTAGGTTAAGTGTGAGGTAAGTGTTAAAAATAAACGAAGTTCCTTAAGGATCCATCTTGGGGCCGTTCCTTTTTATTCTTTATATTAACCTCACATTATTTTTAAACAAACAGAAGTTTAAGATCTGGGTAGAAGGTAAAGCTTAAACTCTCGTGAGTTGCTCACTAGAAGATATTGCTAACAAGGTATATATTATCATACAGTTTTTTGTTTCTAGAAGAGACGGAAGACGTAAAGAAAAATGTGTGGCAATTGGTATGTACAACAACAGAGCCAAATTTGAATTTTTGAGTCCCATTGAAAATTGCATACCAGGATTTAGATGTTTTGAAACGAACCTTAAGACAAATTGTAGAGTAAGTAATATTGTTAAAATGTGTATAATTATATCAACATCGAAAATTATGGTGTATCACAGATAAGTGTAGCATTCTTAGTTACTAAAAGATACATCTTAAAACAAATAATAGAATAAAAAGGAGCCAAAGATTCCGCTAAGTGTTAGTCCTATTCATGTATAAAGAGTAGTAAATCAAGAAAACCAGGAAGCATGTCTTTGGAATATGAAACATTTGATTGTCCTGTCAACGTTAATATCACACAAAAATAATTTGACCTCTGGTTGTGATGACATTCCTAGTTTCCTCATAAAAGAATGTACAAACATTCTGTATAAGCTTATCTATAAAATGATATTAAACTCTAACTTATATCCTGAAGTATTAAAATTAACAAAAATATATCCAACATTTAAAAATCGCGACTCAACTGTTACATCCCACTACATGCTTATTTAAATGTTCATGATCACCCTCAAATGACGCCAGCCGGTTACGATGAACTACCTTTAGTTTACCGTTTAGGATCTTGCTTATACAGTAAATGACATCTTTAACTCTTTCTTGATAAGGTACGTACCTTCAAAAGACCTTTGTAGCTTCGAGAATAACCTTTGTCTTTTTGGTTTATGAACTCAGACTTTGTCGCTTTTCTTGAAACATCCTTCTGTGGCTTGGGTATCGTACCGTTTCTTCATCCTGCCGCTGACTTTGTAACTTTGTAACTAGATTACATAATCTTCATCAACTATATCTTCTCCCGGTCGACATCCAAACTCGAGGTCGCACGGTAGTCTTATCTCACGCCCGAACAGGACTTTTGCTGGTGTTTGGCTTGTTCATTCGTCGTCAATTTCGAAGAGCCGACGATACTAATCCCAATCGCGCTTATGGTTGGAAACCATTTTTGACAAATATTTTCTAATGGTCTTATTCATTCGTTCCACCGCTCCATTCGACTGTGGGCACAACCCTGTAATTATGGTTTCCTTCATGCCTAGTCTGTCACAGATTCCTCGGAAAAACTGGCTCCAAAACTCCAAATCGACTGATAAACTCTTTTATCAACACGTGTGTAACAGTTGCGGCCTCTTGATTTGGAATGGCGTAGACTTCCACCCACACGTTCTATTGTTTCATGGGTACCTTCCTTTTTCGATGAGATTCATTACTCCTTACTCAGATAGTATAGTTCTTACATCAGTCCTTTACGTCATCGGAATTGATTATCCAATGAAACCTTCTACCAACTATCTGAACCAAATCTTCGGTTACTCTAGTCTTTAGAATAACCAACTGACTTCTTTTTTCAGTACCATCATAATATTTGGGTACTCACTTTAATAAGCCTTCTTCCAGGATAAGAGAGTCCCACTGAGCCAAATATGACATAAAGAGAATTTTGATACTTTTTGCACGATTTTCCTCTTTCAATTGTCGTATCTTCTTTAAAACGGGATCCTTTTCTTGTTCTTCCATAATTTTGATAGGAGCTAATTCATCAATTGTTTTAATAGTGCATTTTCTTTGCATTGTACTCTGATACAGTGCGACCACTCTTATAGAAAGAGAATCGGAATTTCTGTTTCGATTTCATAAGTTGACTTATTTCATCGAATATTCTTTGGTAATCGTAAAAGTGGAAACCGTAAGAGGTCCAAATAAGGTAGAGAGGGACTTAAAGGATTAGATTTATACCGGACTGGTCCAAAAAAGATAGCACAACAATAGCTACTGATTGCAACAAACATTAAATACCATTAACAATTTTTGGTGCTTGCAAAATTCGTTACAACTCAGTATTTCTTCATATAAAATTTTCTCAAAAATGTGGAGTAGCTAGTAGCTTTGAAAAGAAAATAGATCGTGTATTTTTTTGAAGGATTCTAGCCCTTGGAGTGGAAATATTTTCTGCGATTCAGGAAATGGTTGGTATGTTGCTGCAGTATTCTCTGAGAAAAATGGCTTGTGTGGACTTTCTTCTGTTGTACAATACACCAGTGTACCATTCCACAAAAACGATATATTTAAGGCAATGGGTAAGTAAATTTGTACACATTATATCTATCTATACCGGGTGTTCAAATTGAAGTGTTACAGTTAAATACCGCCGAAAATATGCATTTTAGAAAAAAAAGTTTTACAGTTTTTTGGGGGAAACATTTTGGCTAAATTCATTTTTTTATAGCTGACCATGATATGGCCATATCGAGGTGGACTTTGTTTTTTTTTAAATTGGAACTCCATTTTCTTTTTACATATTCTTAAAGTACATAAAAAATAAAAATCTTTTGAGGGAAATATTTTTTTATTGGACTTTTACTTTTTGAGTAACAGCTAATTTTGCTGGGCGAAAAAATAGTTTGCCATATGATGGTTAGCTATAAAAACCGATTTTAGCCCAAATTTTTTCCCTATAAAACTATAAAACTTTCGTCTGAAACGTTTTTTTCTTATAAAAGGCGGTATAGTTTATTTTATCATCTGACATTTTCGCTATATTCTAAACCTAGTTGGGGTGACTATCCCTGACTACCCTCATCGTATGGGCGTACTTTTCAAGACTGCGATAAATGAACCGTTAAAATTTAAAAAAAGAGAAATATTTTTTACTGGTCACATCCAAGGAGGTTTACTGAAAATAAAAAAACTAACTTTTAAATCATCCTATATACTTGAATTTTCTGTAATTTACAATTATGTGTTGCCAACATCTAGGGCCGCCGAGTGCCGTGGTGGGGCCCAGGGGCATTTTATAAAAATTCAAGTCCTTTCTATGTTAAAAAAAAAACAAGGTCCTCAAGCAAAATCAGATCCTTTCTTAGTGTAATCTAAATGAAAGGTCCTTACCTTGTATTTTTCGTAAACCAGGTTGTAAAATAATAAATCCAAGCGAAATTCTAAGTTTAACTGCGATTAAACTTTGAATATATTACGAAATTGTAATTGACATAAACATTCAAATTATTATCCATAAACTACAACATAAAAATAAAAATAATACATGTATAGGCGCACGTAAATAATATATTTTCTACATTCTTCACCCCGTGAAGGATCTTCACTTACGTTTGTTTAAGAAACTGGGAGGACCCATAATTTTGATACAGGCCTAATGTAAGTGTTAATGAGTGTACCCTTTTGATGCCATTTTTGGCGATTAATAAGACTTGGTCTAGATTCTTGAACCCAACATTTCCAATATACGAGTAGATCCGCTAGAGCTTGTGCAAAAATCCACTGCTTCTTCGTTACTAGATTATTGGGGCCAGATGATCTTACACCACCAGGTCTTAGCAATAAGAAATGGTTAGAAGTAATTGCTTCAGGGACAATAGGATCGACTGAAATATGGGTCAGGGGACGCGAGTTTATATTTTCAGCTTCAAGGAGTAAAGTTACAAGAACCTCTTCTTTTGGTTTTACAGTATTAAGAGTTGCCTTTAGAGATATCTTTACTGACTATCATTCGCTCCCACACACCAGTCATGTTTGGAGCATTCCTTGAACGCTTAAACTATCGGAGAACCTTTGGTAATTCAATGAGTCAAACCAACCCTTTAACTCTTTTTCTAAGCCTACAAAATTGGTTCCGTTATCTGTCCAAATTTCCTTAGGCTGTCCTCTTCTGCAACAGAAACGACGAATGGCCATAATAGTTGAACTAGTTTCTAAAGACGCAACTAATTCTATGTGAACCGCTCTTATGGTCAGACAGGTGAAAAGAACATCGTAGCGTTTTTCTATTCTACGCCCTATAGAAACATTCATCGGACCAAAGACATCAATGCCAACATATGTAAAGGCAAACACATTTTGTTCTAATCTCACGGAAGGCAGGAGACCCATCTCCGGGGTAACAGGTTTACATCTTCTAATTTTGCAGAACTGATATTTGGAAAATATTTCTTAACAGCCGAACGAATGTGTAAAATTCAGAATTTCGTTCAACGGTTATTTATTACAGTTTCAACACCAATATGCCCTGCTTGTTTATGGTAGTACAGTTCATCAAATTTCTAGAGGCTTTCGACGGCTAGACAGAGAAAGCACTACTGACAGGCATCCCGACGGATTTACGCAATGAAAGTACACTCTGCGCATCAAGTATTTCACTATTTCATTCAGACGTAAATGTCAGATGTAAATTTCGCTAAAACATTTCTTTTATTTTCGTTTGAGTTTTTTGCTCATTACAGTTTAATAGAACCTAAGTATGGAGTTTAATAGCAAATTAAAAGGCTGCGTGATTAACAGTCAATCTCGCGAAATAATAGCCAATGTTATAGAGTTTATAAGAAGAGAAGGAAACTTTAATTCACCTTCAATACCATTTAAAAATGTAAATGATCGTGTTGCTGCAGCCACATGAGTATCTAAAAACACTGTCGTCCGCATTTCTGGAGAGAAAAAAAGAATCGATAACCGTGAGATATCGGAATTTTCATCACCAAGAAAAACCATTAAAAAACCAAAAACAGTTAATGATATAGATGAAGCTGCACAAGAATCAAATTTTATTTTTTTATTATTAGATAGCTATTTTTGTTTCTGAGTTGTGTTCATTTACAGACTCAATTTTTTTCCGTTTCTCCTTTTTGATTGTGTATGGGGTTTCAAGTTGTTTTTGACTTATTTCGACGTAAATCACAACAACACACTTTTTACTTTCCTATCTGTATACAGATATAAGGAAAGTATAGGAATCATGATTTTTTTCGACCTCGAGTTTTCGACGGATTTTTACGTTTTGAGGTCCCCTGAATCCGTTTTGACTATTTTCGCGATGATGTCTGTCTGTGTGTGTGTGTGTGTGTGTGTGTGTGTGTGTGTGTGTGTGTGTGTGTGTGTGTGTGTGTGTGTGTGTGTGTGTGTGTGTGTGTGTGTGTGTGTGTGTGTGTGTGTGTGTGTGTGTGTGTGTGTGTGTGTGTGTGTGTGTGTGTGTGTGTGTGTGTGTGTGTGTGTGTGTGTGTGTGTGTGTGTGTGTGTGTGTGTGTGTGTGTGTGTGTGTGTGTGTGTGTGTGTGTGTGTGTGTGTGTGTGTGTGTGTGTGTGTGTGTGTGTGTGTGTGTGTGTGTGTGTGTGTGTGTGTGTGTGTGTGTGTGTGTGTGTGTGTGTGTGTGTGTGTGTGTGTGTGTGTGTGTGTGTGTGTGTGTGTGTGTGTGTGTGTGTGTGTGTGTGTGTGTGTGTGTGTGTGTGTGTGTGTGTGTGTGTGTGTGTGTGTGTGTGTGTGTGTGTGTGTGTGTGTGTGTGTGTGTGTGTGTGTGTGTGTGTGTGTGTGTGTGTGTGTGTGTGTGTGTGTGTGTGTGTGTGTGTGTGTGTGTGTGTGTGTGTGTGTGTGTGTGTGTGTGTGTGTGTGTGTGTGTGTGTGTGTGTGTGTGTGTGTGTGTGTGTGTGTGTGTGTGTGTGTGTGTGTGTGTGTGTGTGTGTGTGTGTGTGTGTGTGTGTGTGTGTGTGTGTGTGTGTGTGTGTGTGTGTGTGTGTGTGTGTGTGTGTGTGTGTGTGTGTGTGTGTGTGTGTGTGTGTGTGTGTGTGTGTGTGTGTGTGTGTGTGTGTGTGTGTGTGTGTGTGCGTATGTTTTACCGTACTTGTGAGATTTTCGCCTGAATAAAACCAGGACTGTGGGGACAGTAAAAGTTGTGGGGACATTTAATGTTGTGGGGACATACACACTTGTCCCCACAACTTTTTTTGGCTTTATCTTCGTTGTTTGTTTTCTTTTAATGATCATTGCTACATAAAAAAATCGCAAAAAAATTTGTTCGTGGCACTTTTAATTTTAACTAATCTAGAGTTATTACTTTTACCAAAATTGTTAAATAAGTTACTGGCCCCACAACTAGGTAAAATATCAGGTGTGTATATTTTTCGACTTCGGTATTGAAGTGGGGACTAGTTGTTGTACTAGAAAGTGGCGCCCCCTACAAAAAATAAATATATTTCAATAAATATTGGTTTCATAAATTTGTGTGTAAGCGAATCCCAATACGCATACAGTTATGGGGACACAATAACTAATGTAGTATTCAGTGCCATTTGGGGCAGGTGACGTACGCGAATGATATTTTTTATAATTTTCTCTTGGTGCGGTAGCATTTTCTGATATTGTATTAAGTAAGTATTTTTTATTAGATCAGTTAATACATACAGAGACACCGGGTTGCTCTAATATAAAAAATAAGAACCAAGATATATAAGGTGTCCAGCGACGAGGGGCACTCTTAAAAACTAATGGACTGATTTTCTTAAAAATTAGTAAGAGTAGTAAACATGTAAAATATTTTGATAGTTCTGTCATTTTCGCTTTTACCGAAAGTAGGTGTCAACTTTTTTATTTTGAGTGGGACACGCCTTTCTTTTATAACGGATTCCTATAGAACATAAACACTTTGTATAATAAAGCATATCGTTAAAATTGGTAAAATATAAATTATTTTCGAAAATAAAATATATATTAAAATAATATTTATTTTTGGCTAAAATTAATTAAAATTTGAAAAAGTTTTTTAATTGAAATATGATGAAAAACTATGAAGGTATTAATTAATAATTACATGATATAACAAGATCTTTTATTATACGGACTGAGAGAAAATGCTTGAATTTTCATTTATAGTCGAATCGAAATCGCCTCGGAGTAATAAATATGTCAGATCAAGAAATTTTAGGTGTGGGTGCCTATATTATTATTTAAGGGGTACATAAAATCATCATTTAAAAATATATTTTTTTGAATATGTATTGTAACGGTTGGAACAGTTATTCGTTATTTCAACATAATCACCTCTACTCAAATGTCATTTATGCCTTGTGTCAAAATTTCGTATTTCATTTGATTTGAATTTGTCAACGAAACAAGTTGATTTGAATTTTAATATATCTTGGTCATCCGATTTACTAAATAATTTTTATCTATCATAAATTCCGTCTGATTTTATAAGGTAAGTTTTAATACTGATATATTGTTGAAAATATATATTTTGTACAAGAATTTCTTAAATAAAATGTCAAATTTTGAACGTAACCTCAACAATGGATAA